AGTTGTCATAGGCCCTTTCAGCTATTGCCAGTATTTTTCCCAAGCTCTACATACTTTGGGTCTCTCCAGACTCCAGACCGAAAGTGTTTTTGTTTCGGCAATGCTATTTGCTCCACCGGTGGAGTAAGCTCTTATTTGCTCCACCAGGCAGATCTCCACCCACAGAGCCCCAATCGACCTCAAACCAACTGCATCGTGTAGGCATGGACGACAGCTATCTGCAATGCTACTTAGAAGTTATATCCGACCGGTGGCCGCAGAGATATGCTGAAAATGGGGGTTCCGCAGCATGTCAGGAAGCAGTAATCGTCTCGAACCTCCGTCCACACAGCCCCAATTGGCCTCAAACCTTTCTCGTCGTGTCCGCACAGCTCATGTCGTTCTTCCAAGCTATCGTACGCTCCCATCCGATATCTTCCCACAGAGATATGGTCAACAACCGGCCGTTGAGCCACTGAGCCCCCGCGCATGGGCGTTTCTCTGCACCCACTGGTCCGACTGGGGTGGACGGTGGCTTGAATGATAGCTGTGAGCCTTGTGCCAACATGGTGCGGGCCGGGTTAAGCGTGGTTAAGCTATGTGGCGGGAGGTATAGCGGGACTATTGACATTTACCCCTCCCCTAGATGCTGCGGAACCCCCTCTGTTGACCATCTCTCCACCAGCCCAAGCTCTATGTAAAGGGTACTATTTTCCCTACTAAGGCTTTCATTGTGTTGGCGCGGCTCACAGCTATCATTCAAGCCATCGGACAACCCGATCCGACCAGTAGGTGAGAGAAACGCCGACCCAAGGAGGCTCAGTGGCTCAAGGACCGTTGGAGCAGATAAGCGTAACTGCTCCGCCAGGCGAACCTCTATCTACCGGGCCCTGTTTGCCGTACCAAGGCTTGCATGGTGTCGGCACGGCTCACAGCTATCATAAGCCATCGGAAACCCCGATCGGACTAGTGGGTGCGTAGAAACGCCCACCCACGGGGGCTCAGTGGCTTAGCGGTCCGTTGGAGCAGATAAGCTTATCAGCTCCACCAGGCCAAACTCTATCTACCGGGCGCTGTTTGTCTTACGAAGGCTCTCATTGTGCTGGCACGGCCCACGGCTATCATACAAGCCATCAGGAGCCCCAGTTGGACCAGTGGGTGCGGTGACACGCCCACCCACGGGGGCTCAGCAGCTCATAGGGCCGGTGGAGCTTAACTGCTCCACCAGGCCAAACTCCACCCGCATGACATCGCTTGGCCTATTTTCTAAGACTTGCATTGTGTCCGCACCGCTCACAGCTGTCATACATACAAGCAATTGGGCACCCTGATCGGACCAGCGGATGCAGAGAAGCGCCCATCAACGAGGGCTCATGACTCAAAGGCCGGTTGAGCAGATATGTGGCCTTGGAGCCATTTCCTCGTCAGATTCACTATATCCTCTTGTCAGATTCACTGTATTCCTGATCACATACCCTGTATTCCCTCATCAGATACACTGTATTCCATGATCAGATACGCCGTATTTCCTACGCACATACTGTGTAAGTTTTCCTAGTCAGATACACTGTATTCCCTGAGCAGATTCACTGTAGTACCTCATCAGATACACCCTTTCCCTCTTCACTCTATTTCCTGATCAGATACGCTGTTTTCCCTACGCACATACTCTGTAAGTAGTTCCTAGTCAGATACGCTGTATTCCCAGAGCAGGTATACGGTGTTTCCTCGTCAGACATACTGTATTCCCTGAGCAGATTCACTGCATTCCGTGGAGTACCTCATGAGGGAATACAGTGAAACCGATGAGGGAACACAGTGAAATGTACAAGGAATACTCGGTGAATCTGAAGAGGGAATTGAGTGATTCCACAGTGAAAACAGCGAGAGAATACGGTGTAGACCTATCTGACGAGGGAATACAATGAATCTGATCAGGGAACACAGTGAAAACAGCGAGGGAATACGGTGTTTTGGACAAGGGAATACAATGATCCTGACCAGGGAATATAAGGGAATATAATCAGGGAATATAGTGAATCTTCTCAGGGAATACAGTGTTTAGCGAATCTAACCAACAAATACAATGTATGCGATCAGGGAATACAGTGTATCTGTCCAGGGAACACAGATTATACATCATTCCCTATTGCACTGCACCGTCCGAACACGGCGCCAAGGGGGTAACCTACACTATTTGACAAATGGAATATGCTTCCACGGAAGTCGAAATTGACTTCTATGGAAATTGGTTGGCTTCCATGGAAGTCCCATGGAAGTCAATTTCACTTCCATGGAATTTGTTCGTCGGTTTCAGGTTCCAGTTTTCATGATACTTCCAAAAGGAAGCGGTAAACAACTTCCATGGAAATTTTTCCGCTTCCATGGAAGCAGCCGATATGAACCGCTCGTTGCTTCCATGGAAGTTGCATTTCGGACTTCCACGGAAGCGCGACGAGCTTTCATAGAAGTACGGCTTAGCTCGTCGCTTGACAGAGTCGCTACTACTTCCATGGAAGCACGAAAACTCCCATGAAAGCCACTTCCATGGAAGGAAGTGGGTGACAGAGGTCGACACCGACTTCCGTGGAAGTACCGAAAATTCCATGAAAGCAACTTCCACCGAAGCGCCTGGACATGTGGTCATTCCAGCTTCCCTACCCTAATCCTAACCGTACTCCTACCCCAAAACCCAAAGCAACACCACGGAAGCGTCTGTGCATACATACAGTCCAGCTCCCTACACTAACCCTAACCCTAACCCTAACCCCGAAAAGACCGTGGAAGCTAACCCGAGGCTAATACTAATACTTCCATGGAACCTGCTCTAAGCCTGTTTCGAATAGCTGCCACGGAAGCCTAACTTAGGCTTCCATGGCAGCTGTTCCACTTCCATGGGGTTTTCATGGGACTTCCATGGAAGTTAACTTGCATGGAAGTGGCACATCCATATTTCATATCTTCAGTTCCATGAAAGTGAAAATCGCTTCCATGGAAGTGTCGTTTCGGAAGTGGAAGCGCGAAACGTGTAGCTTCCATGGAACTGGTATCAGCTTTCATGGAAGCTGATGTATACTTCCATGGAAGCGGTATATATTTGTCAAATAGTGTGGGAGATCGCGCCAAGGGGCGTCCGTAAGCAGAGAGGATTATCCACTATGGAGGTGGGGTGCCCGTAGTTGACAGGGAGTACCGTTAGTTGAAGGGGAGTGCCCCAAACCACCAGAGGGGGGGCGTTATGAGGGTGGGTGCCCGTTAGTCGCGAGGGGTGCCCGTTGGGGGGGGGAGAGTGCCCGTCAGCCCGGGGGGGTGCCCGTATGAGAATACTTACCCATATCCACGGGGTGCCCCTATCCTGTCACAAGTGCTCGTAAGATAATCAGCGGCCGGTAGATTAAGTTTCGCCTGCCTGGTGGAGAAGATAAGATTATCTGTTCCACCAGGCCGTTGAGCCGCTCAGCCCCGTGGGTGGGTGTTTCTCAGAATCCACTGGTCTGATTGGAGAGCACGGTGGCTTGAATGATAGCTGTTGGCCGTGCCAACACCATGAAAGTCTTTGCAGGACAAACAGCGACCGGTAGATAGAATTTGGCCTGGTGGAGAACACAAGCTTATCTGCTCCACCCGGTCTTTGAGCCGCTGAGCCCCCATGGGTGGGCCGTTCTCTGCACCCACTATTCCGACCAGGGTGCCCGATGGCTCGTATGATAGCTGTGGGCCGTGCCAACATAATGCCAAACTGCTCCACCGGCCCTTCAGCCACGGAGCCCCCGTGGGTGGGTATTTCTCCGCATCCACTGGTCCGATTGGGGTGTCCGATGGCTTGAATGATAGCTGTGAGCCGTGCCGACACAATCCATGCCTTGGTAGGGCAAACAGCACCCTTTACATAGAGATTGGGCTGGTGGAGCAGTTAAGCTTGTCTGCTCAACCGGCCGTCGAGCCACTGTGCCGCCGCGTGTGGGCGTTTCTCTGCACCCACTGGTCCGATTGGGGTGGACGATGGCTTGAATGATAGCTATGAGCCTTGCCAACACGGTGCGGGCCAAGATAGCGTGGATAAGCTATGTGACGGGAGGTAGCGGAACCATTGACATTTACCCCCCCCCTAGATGCTGCGGAACCCCCTCTGTTGACCATATCTCTGTGGGAAGATATCGGATTGGAGCGTACGATAGCTTGGAAGAACGACATGGGCCCTGTGGACAAGATGCAAAGGGTGCCAGTTGGAGCTGTGTGGACGGAGGTTCGGGACGATTACTGCTTCCTGACATGCTGCGGAACCCCCATTTTCAGCATATCTCTGCATCCACCGGTCTGATTTATTAGCTTCTCTAAGTAGCATTGCAGATAGCTGTCGTCCATGCCTACACGATGAATTTGGTTTGAGGTCGATTGGGGCTCTGTGGGTGGAGATCTGCCTGGTGGAGCAAATAAGAAAAGGATACTCCACCGGTGGAGCAATATCATTGCCGATTTTGTTTCGGGTCATTTTCACTAGCCTAGCCCAGCCCTTGCCCGACCGGGTCTCAAAAGCCCACCGTGCACGGCTTGCGACACCCGAGGCATGACTCGGCGGGGAATTGAAAATCATGGGCCCTCCCCGAGTGTCAGCAGCTTCCGTTCGCTGCAGCGGACAAGCGAACTTTGTGTGATTCGCCCTCTTGGCGAGCGGTTGGACAGACAGAGAGTCGGCCCACGAGAAACACAGGTGATCCTATTATAGTTCTGTGTCTATGTTCTTTGTGTGGACGTCACGCAGCACACTCACATACATGCGTAATTTGGCCAGCACTACCAAGTTTTTGGAGTTCAAGCCGTCCTGTCGAAACCTCTGTTCGAGAGTCTGCGAACATTGGTGTTGGATACACGTGCTGTATGATTTGGTGTCACGCAGATTGGTAAGATTGCCGTTTGGTAGGGGGCACCGTGATGTGCCACGGGGCCCCTCCTTGCTGTTGGAGCGTTGGAGCTGCTCTGTGTGGAGCACTCCCTCTTTCGTCCGTGTGAAGGACGGTCGCCTACCTCTCGTGAAGTTAATACATGACCGAAACAGTCTCACTCGATAAATAAGTGGCGTAGGCCGCAAACACTCAAACACTCTAGAGTTTTGCCCCTCGATGGAAGCCACATCGGGATGAGCTCTACCGGAGACGAGGTGCCCACTGCTGCGAGCGGAGAACAGATCCGCCCGCCGGTGGAGGAGGGCCGCGATGCAGAGCTTGCAAGTCTGCAACTGCAGATTTCGCAATTAGCGGCCCTGGTGGAGGAGTCGATGAAGAAGAAGGAGCCTGGCAGCGTCGTGGCGGATGCAGCCAGTAGTGGCGGCTGGGTTGCCGCCACCGGAGGCCAAGATCAGCCCCTGCAGCCGCACGGCGGAGGCGGGGGATTTCTCCAGCAGCAAGCGAGAGATGGTGGGCAAGGACCACGGCAGCTGCTGGAAGGCGGCTGGGCCAGAAGATCGGGAGCGAACCCTGCGAGACCAGCCGGAGTGGGCCCGGGCATAGGACCGGACTACGGGGAAGCGAGGGGGTTAAACCCCCCAGGTGAGATACCCGTGATTCGAGGAAATGGAGAATACCTCGACGGCTACAGCAGTAGCCACCAGAAAAGAGTGACGGTCAATGCCCCGCTTCTAGACGGAAAAAGGCGTAGCCACGGATTTGATTCGTGGCGAAAATCGTTCATCCAAGCTGCGAAGACCATCGACTTGGACGGGCAGTTTATAGGGGATGCAGAGAGCAGTATCCCCGTGGGCGACCCAAACTTGCCGACCTCCGAACTGCTCCGTAGGGGGCACACGAGAGCAGAAGTCCAACGAGGGCTTCAGGCGTTCCACTTTATCACTACTGCTGTGGTAAAAGGAGCTGATAAAGCAATCATCAGTAACTGTACGTCAGCGAAAGAGGGCCTCGCGGAACTGGAAAAGGTCTACGATCCAAAGTCACAGGGGTCAAAACAGGCCTTGATGCGGAAGATGTTCGACTTTGCATTCCCCACACACAGCAACAGCAACCCCATCGAGCACCTCTACTCACTCGAGCTGCTGTATGCCCGCCTACGCGAAAAGGGGCTCAATGCTGAACAACCCTTCGTTCTCGCCCACTTCGTTGGTTCCCTCCCACCCGAGTACCAACAAGCGAAGTTCCTGTTGGAGACAGCGACGGCGCTGGATAGAGCCGAGATCGTCAGGATCGTGAGCACGGTGCACGCGAGCCTCCCGGAGGGGAGGAAGGCTCCGAAGGGCCAGCGTAGGGCGAGGCATGCTCTCATCGCGAGCGATGGTAGCGGCGGGGGAGGAGCGCCGGGCCGCGGCAACAACGGCCGCCGCAAGGGCGGCGGCGGCGGCGGCGGCGGCAACCAGAAGGGGAGAGGGGGCGGCGCGAAGGCTGGTGGCGGCGGCGGAGGCGGCGACGATGATGCGGGTAGCATGCGCGGTCGCTGTTTCCGGTGCGGCAAGAAGGGCCACCAGGTGGCCAACTGCCCCGAGAGCAAGCCCGTGCGATGTGAGACATGCAAGGCCTACGGGCATGACAAGAGCAAGTGCCCGACCGAGGAAGCAGAGCTCGTCATGGAAGTGCCGGCGGGCGTCTGCGGACGCCACAGCACGGGACGTGGCAGAAGAGGCGCTGGTGGTCGGTGACATTTCAGGCGAGTGTCACAGAGTCGTTGGTCGAGGGGGTGTAGAGCAGGCTAGGCGGGGGAGGTATGTTGCCGATACCGGCGCTACCACCCACATGTTCGCGAACTCAGATGGGTTCGTTCGTTACGAAGAGTGTGATCGACGTGTGCGCGTCGCCGCAGGAGAAACCTTCCCTATTGTAGGGTATGGCGATGTGACGGTAACCCTTAGCTCGCGCGACGGTACAACCGACCTGTTGTTGAAACGGGTTGCACACGTTCCCCGACTAGATTACAACCTAGTATCTCTCACTTCCCTCTTCGACGACGGGTTCGAAAACAAAACCCTCAATAAACACGAGTTGAAATTGGAGAGAAGGGGGGGGAAGTCGGTGTACTTCCCCCGATGCGGTAACCTGTACGTTCAGAACGGTTTCCGCAAACACTCTGAACAAGCCTATGCCGCAATTGCTCCTGGTAGCGCGAAAGCGCCCAACACCCCCGGTGATATCAACGACTTCCACTGCGCGCACGGCCCTCCCACGAGGTGCTGCTGAGGACCACGGCGAAGCAGCAGGGTACGACGCTGGTGGGCGAGCTCCGGGAGTGCCTGGGGTGCTCGACGGCGAAGGGGCTATCCAAGCCCATCCCCAACAAGACGTCGACCCGAGCATCGCTGCCTCCCATCGCAGAGGAGGAAGAAGAATTCGCGACTGAGGAGGACGAGGTTGGGGAGGGCGCGTCGAGCCAAGGTGGAGGGAGGGCGGAGGGAGAACCTGTGGATGGAGGACCAGGCTTCAACCTTGGCATGACGGCAGCCCCGGGGCCCGCGGGGCCGCCCGCGCGCGCAGCGCCGGGGGCGCCGCCGGCCGTGCCCCAGGAGTCGGGCGCAGGCGACGCTGGCGATGGCGCCCCCTCGAGGAGGGAAGGCGCGAGCGTCGCCCCATCTACCACGTCGACCGGCATGGCCGATGTGGGCGGCGGCGAGGACGACCGCCGCAGCAGCAGCAGCCGCGGTAGCGGAGGCAGCGGCAGCGACAGCGGCTTCAACAGCGGCAGCGGCAGCGGCAGCGGCAGTGATAGCGACAGCGACAGCGAGACGGATCTCCTGGCGCTCCGCGGGCCAGAGGCCCGGCGGCTCGCCCGCTTCGACAAGCCGGCGGAACTCAACAGCCGCCGCACCAGAGAGAACCCCCGCAGAAACCCGAGGTACGAGTCGCCCCCGTCGCCGACAAGTGCCGAAGATCTGCTCGCCTCGGTGGCGAGCCTGCCCGTCAGCAGCACGGAGGAGTTCACCCGCTGGGTGCTCTCGGCGGTCCTCCACGTGGCGGAGGGGCTAGAGGCGAGGGTGGTGCGAGAGTTGCTGTTCGAGCGCGCCGAGGAGGCCCACGCTACGAGCCAAGAAGCGGAGGACTTCCTGCTGGGCGCGGTGGACCTCATGCTCAACCCGCCAGACGCCTTCGAGACGGCTCTGGCGTCCCACGAGCTAAGTGAATCCCCCATAGGACCGAAGCGAGATGATGAGAAGGGAGGGATGTGGCCGGTGAGGGAGGCCATCGGCAGCATGATGTGGGTGTCGACGTTCTCGCGTCCAGACGTATCGTTCGCCGTGCGTGCGGTAGCGCGCCACGCCCACGCCCCGGCGAAGAGGCACTGGGACGCGATACAGAAGATCCTCGGCTACCTAAAACAGACGAGGGACCTCGGCATCACCTACCAACGGGGATCGGGGTTAGGGCTTGCCGTGTACGTAGACGCTAGCTACGCCGACACGGAGGATAGGCGTTCGGTGTCAGGGTTGGCAGCAACGGTTGGAGGTACCGTAGTCAGCCATGGTAGCAAGACACAGAGCATCGTGTCTTTGTCTTCGACGGAAGCCGAGTACATTGCTGCCGGGGAGGGCGTCAAGGAAGCGTTGTTTGTGCGTGCTGTGCTTTCGTTTGTTGCCCCAGAGACCAGTGGTAGCAGCACCCAGGTCCATGAGGACAACCAGGGGGCCACAGCGTTGGTGCAGAACCCCCTCAGCTCAGGCCGCACGAAACACATCGACGTGAGGATTCATTTTATCCGCGGATTGTTTAGGTCGGGGGATATTTCGGTCAAGTTCGTTCCGACAACGGAGCAACACGCGGACCTCCTAACCAAGGCCCTTAGCAGGGCCAGTCTGCAGTACCACCGGCGCAAGTTGATGAATTTGCCGGAGAAGCTGTAGCTGTTTTTTAGAACTTGCATTGGATTTTCTGATAAGTGCGGCCGTTGTGATCCGCTGTGATAGCGACGGTTTTTCTTTGTGGTGTTAGGGTTTCTTTCGAGGGGTTTTGCCCGGACGCCGGGTTTCCCCTCCACATATTACCATGTTGCTATTTCTGATGTATCCAGGGGCGTTCTTGCTCCATTAATGATTAGTCACTCGCGTGAAGAACCAGGGAGGGTGTTCGAGAGTCTGCGAACATTGGTGTTGGATACACGTGCTGTATGATTTGGTGTCACGCAGATTGGTAAGATTGCCGTTTAGTAGGGGGCACCGTGATATGTCACGGGGCCCCTCCTTGCTATTGGAGCGTTGGAGCTGCTCTGTGTGGAGCACTCCCTCTTTCGTCCGTGTGAAGGACGGTCGCCTACCTCTCGTGAAGTTAATACATCACCGAAACAGTCTCACTCGATAAATAAGTGGCGTAGGCCGCAAACACTCAAACAACCTCTTCCTGCGGCAGTGCGCCATATGGTGGAGAAAGACTTCGAACGGGTCGGATCACAGGAAACATCAAGGAAGAGGGTGTTGGTCCGCTTGGAGGAAGTGAAAGGCAAAGGAGTTTTGTCGTGGCTGACCACGCAAGGACTGTCGGCAGGTGAACGAACGCTGCCTGACTTGTATCGAGTGTCAATCGGTCGTGTGCCGGGGAGTCACGATCGAATTGACTGTGACACAGGCAGACTTTGCGGTGCAGGTGTATTGTCGCCGTGCAAGGAACGGTTGAGCCGACCCCACTTCCTGGTCGGCAAGAAGTCCGGTGCCTCAACCTCCCTGCATAACAGGATGGTTCGCGTGATGTTGAAGACATTACGTGAATGCAACATGCCAATCGCCGTAGAAGACTCTTCCCCATTTACCACAGGCACTGGTAGGGGAAAAGGGCTCTACAAGATTGATTTGGTGACCCCCCCAGGATTACACACAGGACATGAAGAAGAGGAACTCTGCACCAAGTCCATTCTTGAAGCCGTAACAACCGTCAACCCATCCGCAAGTCGAAGCATCGACAAGTCGATCCAAAAGCCAGGATTCTCCCTCGAAGATCGAGCTGAAAGTAAGGCAGCTCACCATGCGGGAACTTTCAACCCGTCTAGATCTACCCTCCTTTCTGCTGTTTTTTCAACGTATGGTGGTCTTGGCAAAGGCACAC